AGTATCCATCTGATACTCCTAACTAGAAAGTCTATTTGTCCGCTAGGGAATGTTGCTGCTTCCTGTAAAAAATGCTCAGTGGCTTGGCACCCCTTGTCGTGAGAAATGATGGTATATAGTGAACTCACGTCTGCTGTCACTAAAAAGCTACCTTCTTTCCACTGGTGATTAGTCAATACCTGGAGAATATTGGAGGTATCTTTTAGATAACTTGGACTCTTAATAACCACTGGTTGAAGGCATCTATCAACGTACTGGGATAGTCTGCTCGAAATCGAGCCTATCCCAGATACGATGGGTCTACCAGGGGGTTTTTGCTTGTCCTTGTGGATCTTAGGGAGGTGGTAAAAAAACGGTATTTTGGGTTGTATCACATTTAGAAATTTATGTTCTCTCTCATTTAAAATATTAGATTCTCTTCCCTCCTCTATCAAGCTCTCGTATGTGGTTTTAAAGTCATTAGTGGGATCACTCTTTAAAATCTTATATGTTTGTTCATCCCCTAGGAGTCTATAGGCCTCTTTAATGTATTCCTCTTTATCTTGGATGACAATGCCCCCCCCTTTGTCTGCTGGTTTTATTATCAGCGAGTCGTCCTGCCTTAATTCCTTTAGTGCTTTTATTTCTCCAAAATTAAGGTTAAACTGTTTATGCTTAGGATCCTTTATTTTACCTATATCTTTCATTACCATTTTCTCAAAAGTTATCATCTCATCAGAGATACAAAACTTAGGGTAAAACAAAGATTTAGCTAAACTCAAAGCTAAACCAACTTGGTTTTCTACATTTGGAGATTTATCCTGAAAACTTTTGAACAGGACCTCCTTTGCTCATTATTACCAAATATTTAGAAACAAATCGATCCTCCAGTATTTTATTTACTCAGTACATACATTTGTTTTGATTTATATGATCTATTTATTACTGTTCTGGTGAGTAGATTAAATTTTGCTGTAAACACTGTCTTTTCAGAGAAAATGCAGTGTTTACATTACAGCCTAGTGATAACTTCACTGGCCACTCCTCAGATGGCTGTTAGAGATCCTTCCTGGGTCATGGCTGCCTAAAATGCATCCAAACATTCAGTGTCTCCTCCCTCTGCACGCAGACACTGAACTGTCCTCATAGAGATTCATTGATTCAATTCATCTCTATGAGGTGATGCTGATTCGCCAGGGCTGTGTTTCAATTGTGCTTGCTCTGCCCCTGATCTGCCTCTTTGTCAGTCTCAGCCAATCCTATGGGGAAGCATTGTGATTGGATCAGACAACCACTTCTGCTGATGTCAGCAGGCAGTGGGCAGGTCTAAAGGAAACAGGCACAAAGCATGCAGCTGCAGACTTGAATACAAGTTAGATTTACTATATTTAGGGAGGCAAGAGGGGGCAAGGGGGACTAGATGGTAGTTTTAACTCTTATTGGGTCAGGAATACATGTTTGTGTTCCTGACCCTATAGTGCTCCTTTTAATTTTTTGTTTTGCTTGTTTTTCACTTTTTATATGAAATCGATCTTTTCTTTGGAACACTTGCATTCATGATCATGATGCCACTGATTTTGTGCATGTTGTAAGGGGTATATAACTGAGTAATCAGTATATTGGATTATCCTCCCTTGAGAAAAGTGTTACGTCAAAACGTTAGGGGGTTGTGTTTGGTACCTAAATCTCCATATATTGTTTGTTCTCACTCATTCTTGTTGTGTAGTCTGGACTTTTTTATATATGTATTCATGTTTTGCATTATTGGTGTGTCTATTATCAAATGTATGTGTGTGTTGTCATTCATTATTGACGTTTGAGTATTTTTCTGATGTTGTCTATAGAGATATTGTACACAGTGCATTTAGTTTTTTTTTGTAAATTTCTTTTTATTTTTCAACATAAACCTTATATCAGATAAACATCGTCAAGACTCGCAGGTCTCCATGTACTCGGCATCATTTCGGGACTCGCAGGTCCCTCACCGTGTCGGCTCTAGGATCTCGTATCTCAATGTAGGGTATTACCTCGTCACTGTGATTCAATTGGGCTCGACTGTATGTGACATACATTGTTAATAGAGGTAACATAGAGAGTTTCCGACAGTCAAATATTAGAAGATAAACATTGTAACAGAGTAAACTAATGTGTCTCCATCTCATTCGCTAGGGTTTTTGAGTTTCTGTCCCCTGACCGGGGTCCTCTTCCCGGCCAGGGGGAGGAACTGAGGGTTCGTAGTACCCTGCACATTTCGGGGAGGTACACGCAGGTCCCCTAGCAAATGTCGCAAGTGCGCGTGACTGTGTTCCAGCATGAGTTAGTGCAGGCGACACATTGTAAAGTAAAATGGTGTGACCTCAGCAGCTCAGGCTAGCTTAAGGCTATCCTAACTATAAGATAAGGCTAGGGACTAATGAAAGTATTTAGAAAATTGGGAAGACTAGATGGGCCGAATGGTTCTTATCTGCCGTCACATTCTATGTTTCTATGTTTCTCAGCACTCAATTGGG